CCTTCAATTCACGGTTTGCAGGAACATGTCTCCTTACTGTTAGTTGCTCCCCAAGAGAATTCTTAACTAACACAGTTGAAAACCTTACCCTAGCTTGTCCCTGCAAGGATGACTGCTCAGCATATCCTGTCTGTATGCTTGGTAATGTACAAATTATTGTACATTGCTGCTGTGAGCTCACTGTGAGCTTGACTGAACAAGACCAGCACAGTGCAGACCCTGTCTGCACAAATATATAAATAGAGTTGCTTATCAGCTTGCTTCTTAGAAGTGTTTCAAATAGTATTCTTCTTTTCTAACTTTACAATCTAACCATGAGGTATCTGGTCCAATATCATTTTTATAATCAATATAAAATCTCAGCAAATAACACACACACACAAATGTTTATAAAGCACAGTAAAAATAAGGTAGGGTAGAAACCAGTAAATTTGAGTTATAAAGAGAAAAATATAACAAGTGAAAGAAAGATTTTTTTTTTGCTTATTTTTGTTTTGAAGTGCTTCTGACGAAGAGTTAGGCACAGCCAAAACCTTCATTATGCTCTATGGCATAAAGCAACTTTTCCTTGAGTATGCTTTTACTACTGTATCTGGGGAGATAAAAAATGAGGGAGCAGGTACTGGCAGAGGGATAGAGCTCATCTGGATTTTTTGCTTGAGGATCTTCAATACAAAATCTAAAACATTCCAGTTGATAGGCAGGGATTCGATCAGATCCTGACAAGAACCCTGAAGGAACGAGAAAAAAAAAAAGCAAGAAAAAGTAAGCAAATTAAAAAATAAACCAAGATAATGTTAATTGAAAAACATGAAAATAATTAATGTTAATAAAAATCATGAAGGGAAATCAGTGTAAACATATGGCTATTTTCATAAGCTAATTATTTTGCTTTGTTGAATTACCTGAATACAATAAAGTCTCTTACTGACTAATATGAATTATAAGCCCTCTTTTACTTTATAATTTAGACTTTGTGGATGAGGAAGGCCAGGCTAGGTCTGACCTTCTACATTTAAAAACAATGAGCTAGCTTTGGTGATCCTTTGAGAAGGGTAAACTGCTTACATCAATATAGTCTGCTCACACAAACTGAGGCCTCTGACCAACAAGACAACCACAAAAGCAAGGGATAAAGTAATTGCAATGTTCAAGGTGGTCAGGTGCACTCAGGCAAGCCTTCATGGTTTTCACTAGAAAATGTGGTAGCAGAAAATGTGTTGAAAAGCTGTTTGAGACTATAGTATTTTTTATGTGCAACCATCTAAAATGTGTGTTGTGGGGCAGAAAAAAGGACTATGAAAAGTTTAAAATTACTGATACATTACCAAGGAACATTTTCTTTTTTTCTTCTGGGAGTTTGTGAAACACATTCCAAAAATCTTTGATGGTTTTATCTGACTTATTATACTGCCTGTATACCACATTCTGTCAAAGACATAAAAATAAAACAGGTCAGTTAGTCCTCAATATTTCCATTTATATTTAAAGCAACAACATTTTATCTGATAAATTTTATAATCCTGTTCATAGATATTCAAATCCTCTTAACCTCTGGAATCTCCTTGTTCATTTGTTTTTTCAAAGATTCTTATGACAATCCTTGAGTTATGGCTTGATACTTAGTCTCCTTTATTCTTGTACCTGATGTAGATTAGAAATAGAACTATGACACAAGTAAAAAAAAAGAGAAAGTCCCTTGAGCTTCTGTCCATCTGTTCATGACCTATACAATCAATGAAAGAACAGGTCAGAAGTAGTTTATGCTTCACAGATACAGCAGAAGGACACTATGCTAGTATACAATACCTTTTCCAAGAGATGCCAGTCAACTGTTGGGTGTCCCTGGAGAACAACCTGGAGCTCTACAGGGAGAAACATCTTCCAATTTCTAGCTGGGCACCCTCTTAAAAATCCTTGCATAAAGTCCTGAAATGGCTTTTGCACTGATTCATTGAACACATAATTCACGTACAAGTCAACATATTCTTTCCTGGAAAAAATATCAAATGAGCAATGCAATAGGTACTTTTGTAAAAGGAGAATTATAGAGAACTTTATACCTTATTCCTTTATTCTGCACAACCTGCTGAACTGTAAAGATTCAATCTTTACTGAGATCAGTCGCCTTGGCAATTATTTACTCACTGAATAAACTGCGAGGATGTTCACAAATAAAAGAGAATGCTGGCCAACATGGATTCATTTTGGTAATACTCCTTTATTTCATGTGAACACTCTAATAATTTCCCTGAAATCAAAATAACTATTTGCACAGCTGCTAATCAGTAGTTTCACTCTTCCCTCTACTTGTGATGGGGATTTGTGTAGTGACATTGTACTTGCACAATCAACTCAATGTAAATGCTATACTTCAAGCTTCCTAAACAGTCCTTTCTTGAATCCCTAAGGGTCCTCAGATCATCTGCATAACTCAGGACACAGAACTTCTCTCTGTCCTCTGTGCCGAGGTTAATACTGACAAAAAGCCTTATTGACAGATTGCTCCTTCTCCTTTATATACAAAATATATTCAGTAGATGTAACAATGCAGAAAACATTTTGCTCTAAAAAAACCCCTTATGGAGGTGTACCTATAGCTGGATTTGTCAGACAAATCATCTGTATTTCACTGAAAATACCGTCCAAGGGTATTTTATACATTTGTTAGGAATTTTTCTGATAACTCCAGGTACCTGTATATGCAGATGCCAGGATGTCCAAGGATCCCCTTCTCATCTGCTGCTTGCACAAACTGCCAAAGTCTGACACATGTGCAGCAAATACAGCAGGAACCAAAAGTGTACAAAGACCAAGACCAATGGTCGGTATAATACTGAAGTTGGTATTTTGTAAGGGGATTGGTATAGACGTTATCTCATATACTTGTAACAAGACAACAAGGTAAGAAATGTAAAAATAAAACTGACCTGTTATCCTTAGTGACAGGAATGTTGGCACCATTTTTTTTAAGTTCAACAACATCCATAGAATCTCCTTCTTCCATTACCTACACAAATAAATTTAAACATTGGCTGCTGTTTCTCCATATGACAGATATATACGTGCTACATCTATCATTCTTCTTGCAGGGCCTGACATAGCACTTTTACTAGTTTGAGTTTACAGACAAATTGTGTCATTTGCACTGGGACAGTCTTGCCCGAGTACATACATGGGATGTCTGAACGGCACAGTGGTCCTACCGTGAAGTCTATGTCCATGCTCTCAAGGTTATGATCACATTCTTCATTCAAAATTCCCCAAAGAATCCTGTCAAAAAACAAAGGGAAAGAAAGAGAGAAGAAACATGACCACTCGATGCATTTTCAAATTCTGCTGAAAACCATCCTTTGATAAGCAGTTTTTAAGTGCATATACATATAGAACACATACACAACACCTACACTCACAGAGAACCATCATATGTGGCCCTGAACTTATGTCATGCTGCTGCCATGAGCGAGGGCAAATGCCTCCAGTAAAAAAAGGATTCCAGGCAAGTCCATCCCCATGCCTTGTGGGGATAACTTTACACAAAGTTCAGTGAGAAGTGGGCTTGGACCATAGCCTCGCTTCCAGACATCATCTATAAAATATGGACCAGCGGGCTGATCTGGGAGAATTGTTTTGGGGTGAAGCACCTCTTCAAGTATTGCAGGAGGGTGAAGCACCTCTCCAAGTGTTTCAGTTCACTTAAGACTCTTTAGCACCTCAACACAGTCACTGGCTCATGGATATAGTTCTCATCTTCTTGGCTATTCATAGCACTTGTGTGGAAAGCTGAGCTTCATGGGCCTAAAAGATTTATGTTGGTGACAGCAGCACCTCTCCCTGCTATGTCTGGCTGAAATCTCCTTTCCCAGTGCATGGAGATCCTGTTCTCAGAATTGGCACAACTGCAGTGTATGGCAATACTGTGCCTGTGTAAAATAACACAATGGAAATGGATAATTAGTAAATCAGAGAAAAAAACCAGCATTAGTAATTGGGTGCTTAGTTCTTCCAAGTCCAAACTACAGCTCATCGGACTCAGGGATCTCCCTGCACATGGAGACCCAGCCGAAGCTTGGGCCATGCCTGGCTCGTACCGGCCCACAGTTGGGAGCAGCTCCTCGAGGTCCTCCAGGGTGGGGGCCAGGTCCAGCAGCTTTTTGTAGAGAGCCCTGGGGAAGGGGAAGGGCACCATGCGCTGGTTAAACAGGGCCATTCCACATAGTGTCCCGATCTGGAAGAAGGTGTCCTTATCCTCACAGCCCGAGGCCTGGTTAGGAACAAGCACACCAGAAAACTGTGACCGCCTTTTCCCATGGGTGGCCTCCCCACCCGCTGCCGCGGGGCTGCCTCACCTTGCTGGGAAACCACACGAGTCCGGACGTGTAGTGGCGGAAGGCACTGGTGGCCGGCTGGCAGAGGGTCCTGGCAGCAATGCTGAAGAGCTCCTGGGACAGCCCACCCTGGTCCACACCCTTCTCGCCCACAAACACCACCTGCAATGCCCAAGACACCCACAGACATAGACACCCATGTTGCCCACAAAATAAGACTGGTTACCCAACAAGCCAATAATTACACACCCGAGAGAGACACTGATTATTTATTTCAGAGCCGTGCTGGGTGGTATTCCACAAATCAAGCACACCCCAGCTGACTTTTCAGGCCATTATTTATACACAGAAACTCAGAGTTAGTGACTGTCCAAGTACAGCCCTTCTATTATGACTGTATGTAATTCCCATACAAGTTACATAACCCCAGCTAACTTCTATGTGTGCTTAGGGGAAGGGTCTTCACCTGGGCAGGGGGCTTTTTGACCTGGAGGTGTGATTTTTAGTATTATAACGAACATAGTTCAACTATAGGATACATGGACCTTGAGTACTTTGCCAAGTTATCCACGTATACATAGACATACATCAACATCTTGATTTACTGCATCCTTAAACCTTGCGAGTTCCCGGATGTCCTTGACTAGGGAATGCTGGCTGCTGCCTGCTCCACTGATCAGGTCTCCTTTCTTGCTGTTTAGGCTTGAATGTACGGAAAGACCTTACATCAAGGAGCAGCCCGCCTTAAGACAACCTTGGCACACTCCTCGCTTTGCGGCACCCACAGGCTCCCGGCACAGCGCGGGGCGGGGCCGGAAGCGGCGGCCATGCTGCGGGGCGGCGGGCGCGCTGTGGCGGGGCTGCTGCGGAGGGCGGCGGCAGGCAGCCGGGAACAGCACCGGGATCGGGATCCGGGATCCAGGATCCAGGAGCAGGGCTCGGGCTCAGCGCGGCCGCAGCCGCCGGAGCCGTCGCTGCTGCGCTTCCTGGTGTGCCCGCTGTCCAAGAAGCCGCTGAGGTGAGGGCGGGCCGGGGGAGCTGCGCTCGCTGCCCGCCCTCGGCCCGCTGCAGCCCCGCGTGGAGAGGGAGGGGCTCTCTAAGGGCGAACCCAGGTTTTTCACCCCTCCTTCTGTTTTGTTGGTGGCTTTGTTTTATCTCCCCCTTCCCCCCCATCCGCCTTGCCCGTCCAGGTACGAAGAAGCTACCAACGAGCTCATCAACGAGGAGCTGGGCATCGCGTACCCCATCATCGACGGCATTCCCAACATGGTTCCGGAGGCTGCCAGGATGACGCACAAGAAGCCTCCGGCCGAGGACTCGGAGCAGCCCTGAGGACCCGCCAGGCACAGCGGTAGCTGGGACTGATGGCCGGGGGAGGGATGCTGCCCTCCCTGCCCACTCTGACTGTGCTCGTTCCCCTCCTGTCCTTGGCAGGCTTGTTTTACTCAGCCAGCGTGGACGAAGCCTTCCCACAGGGCTGCACCAGCACGAACAGCCTGTGTTTCTACAGTCTCCTCCTTCCTGTTACAATACCGGTTTATGTGTTCTTTCACCTTTGGACCTGGATGGGGATTAAGCTTTTTAGGCACAACTAGTGAGATGCGTTTGCTAACCCCTGGGCTTCTCTAAATCAATGCAGCTGGTTTAATCTCATCGGGTATTGCAGTTCGTTGGAGAGTTCCCTTTGGCACTATGGACTGTCATCATTTTCCTAGTAGTATCTGAAACTGTACGAAGCAGCAGCCCATTGTTACCTACTGCTAAGGCAGATTTAGAGTAGGAGTCATAAGAAGCACTAATTCCCTCTGCTGTATCCCTCCAAGAGTGTTGTGCATTTGTAGTGGCACTGATGAAAACCACCTAGGTGGAAGTTGTTTTCGCGAGGGAGAACTGTACCCTGACTGAGAAAACTGATCTTAAATAATACACTAAATTAAAATATGCAGTCTTTGAGAACTTTGGTTTTGTTTTAACCTGATGTATGTACTGAAATATATTTGACTCACTGTCAGAAGAACATAAACTAAAATAAATTAGGCTGGTGTTTCGTAACAAAATTTGGGACTTGACATAAATGAAGAAATTTCTTGGATGATACCCATGTCTGTATGTGCAGTGGCTGCTTTTTTCTTTCTTTTTTTTTTTAAGAAAAAGGTGGGTAAATGACAGCTCTGCAGAACAGATGTACCTGTGCATTTGGGGGTTTTGTTAGAGTGGCCTCCAACGTATTCCAGTGTCTGCTTAGGAGATGTGTGTCCCAGTACTATGTGTTAAATATATCTGAGTACACAAGTTTGATAGCCAGGTTGGGTCATTTTCATTAAAGAGGCATCTCCTGACAGGTTAGTGGAAAAATAACTCCCAACTGAGCCCAGAATTTGTTAGCCCAGTCAACAGCTACAAAAATGCTTTTTAAGTACATAGAATATCCTTTCCCTTCGCACCATCTCCTGCTCAGTAGAGAGGGAACAGGAGATACTTCTGCTAAATACTTCAACCTTCCCTATTTTCATTTACAGCAACACTAGAGAATGGGGTGACAGACCACTATGAGGGTGTCACATGCCAAGTTCTCAGTACTGTCTGAAAAAATTCCTAGCTGGACACAGCTATGAAGGGGACAGGTCAATGCTATGATAATCTGTTATAAAGGTTTCTTTTTTATGTTTTGCTATTGAGTGGTTTATATCTGCAACACAAATACATTAATGTCCTCTACCTGCTGAAAAATGCAGAAACGCAGCAGCAAGTTGTAGATACTGCAGACCATAGTTTCTCTGGGCGGGTGACTAACAGTGCAGTCAAAATTATCAGGCTGCTGCAAATAATGCTGCCATGTGCAGTGTGAAAGACAATGCTTGCAGTAGGTGCATTTGAAGGCTGACTTCACTAAGGGCAGCTGTTTGTCAGAGCTTGTACAGTCAGTGGAGACTTGAGATCTAGAGGACAGTACAGAGCTCAAGCCTCACTACCTCTGTAAATAAATGCCTCTCAGCTGGTGAAGTGAGGAAGCAGGAAGGAAAGGTAGCTCTAGGGGGCATTGAGAATCTTCTCCTAAGTGTATGGGAAGGAAAAGCTTTGACAGTTCTTGTTGGCAAGAAGGCTCACTTGGAAAGCACCAGAACTGGGCAATAGGGCACCGGGGTTGATAGCTCCTGTGACACAGGCGTGGTGCCAGACTTTGTGTTAGTGACTGATAGGACACATGGTCCCTGAGCTGAGCTCCACTCTGGGCAGGTGCCCTCTTCCCACGTCACCCAGCGTTTTGCAACACAGGGCTAGCATTGCAATTCCTGCAGGAAATACAACTACCAGAACCTCTGGGTTTGTGTGGAAGCCACAGATTAAAGGCACATGGAGACAGCAGCACTATAATCAGATTGCCACCTCTCTCGCCGGCACTATCCTTCATTTCCCTTCAGACAGCATCTCATGAGAGAAATGGCTTTTTGTGGCTTTTTGTGTTGCTTGCTGGCCGCTAAGGCTGGTTCCCCAGCCACTGGGGTTTTCATGTGCAGCAAACTAGCATGGGATCTAAAAGTCAGTCTAGCAGTAATAGTACTGGACTTTGACAAGTCTAGTTTCCTGAGCAATCCTATTACATTACCCCAAAGCAACCTCACAGGAAATAGCACTGCCACTTGTGTTTAACTTACGCCAACAAAGCTTGATGGCTACTTGGAATAACAATGTAAGATACTGCCATCCAGATTCACTCTACACCACTTACGGAACATGTTGTATAATAATCTGAAGAATAGTTCATTTGTTGTATGCTCAGAGAATACTGAAACCCTTCTACCAATACTTCAGTCACACTGAAAATCAAGGAACACTGCAGCGAGATATTTAGAGCTAACAAATAATACAATTTGGTATCTTACCTTTAAGATCTTCCTGAATTCCTGGGTTGAGGCACATTCTAAATTGTTCCATATGTCTTGCAGAAAGCACTCTCTTCTGACGTGAAATTCCCATTGTTTTCTCGTGCATGTAAGGATTGTCTGAGGATTGAAGTAACAGTTGTTGGCAGTGTGTTTATCTCTTCTAATTTGTAACAAAATTGGCCACACCTACTTCAGTAGAGGTCCCGGGCAGAGCGCTGCCTTCTGTGCACAGAACCTGGCATTCTGTTATAAGAACGGCGATCCTGTCTTGCATGTCAAAGATGCATGGGTACTTGCTCAGGTTCCATAGGGCTATCTGAAATGGCAAGTAAAAAAGGAAAAGACATGTTGATTTTCCCCTGAGAAACCAGTTCCAGGGTACGTGTGGAGACTGAACTGCTGGCCTGTACCCTGGCAAACTCCCATATCTCCGAGACGTGCCCTGGTTGTGTGCACGAGCACTACACTGGGAGAAGTACGCTTCCTAAAAACAGCTTCTACACACTTCTGTGAGAAACACTGACAGAGAGGCATCTAACCAGTTTGTGCAGACAGACACCAAGAATAAAACAGAGAGAAAGTGATTTTAACAGCTGAATTCAGCTAAACCAAAACACATAGTAAAAATGTCCTGGATACCCAGGTTATGGTACATTGTTTTTAAAAACTGCTGACTTTATTATCTGTACTACCAAAAGTAAATACTGGTATAAATATAATTTAATTCAAAGTGTTACACCTCCAGTGTGATAAGGCAGCAACTTCAGGTCATTTCCTATTTGGCTTTTGATTCTATGCTGTTTCCCAAACCTTCTCCTCCACTCTGGTTAATTGGTACAAAATTGGTACATTAGCAAACAAAAGCTTATGAAGGAATGAGGCAGTTGCCCTACGAATTCCAGGCAAGTTGCCAGAAAGCTACAGGTTTTTTGCCTAAGGAAGGCCCTACTATCCACATTTGCATTTCATCCTGCTTCCTGTGACACTGACTGCATTTGGTAGCTAATTTGCACTCCATGTTGTCAAGAAGTAAACCATTTGACAGATTATTTTTATTATCATGGCTTGGTTTTAAGATGTAAGTAAATTGAAATATGGTTTCTAAACAAAAGCTTAAAGACACCACACAGTATTTCTATTAATAAAACATAATAAAATCTAGAGTAACAAGAAGTATAGCAACCATCCCTCATGGTGCTTTTTCACAGTGATTACTAGTTCCAAGCCAACAGAGTGTCTTAGGACACTGGAGGACAGCTCCAACTCTCAGAACCAGGGGTCATCTCAGGAAAGGCACTATTGTAGCTGCTAAAATACTGGATGGTAAAGGGCTTGCTAGAGAAAATGCATTGTCTTTGAGATGTAATGGGTTAGAGTCTAGAGTTGCCTTTCATATCTATATCTATATAATTATATCTAGAGAGAGATATAGCGACTATTTAAATAAAAGAGAAAAGAGTGTTTTGCACTGCTGGTAAAATTTTATACTTACTGCTCTATTAAAGAACTGACAGAAGTCGATAATCTGTTTCACAACAGGTACATAGAAGTTGCTTTCTTCTACTCTGAAGCCAGTTCTGGAGTTCACCTGCATTGATACACACAACATGTCAGCAGCAGATCCAGTGAGCTGTACATCTGTGTGGCAGGACAGGACTGACAGGACTTTCTGCAGAAAGAGCTCTGAGACCCTGAACAGAAGTGAAAGGATAGAATTGCTACGAGTAGCACAGCGCCCCACAGTGAGAAGTCTCGAAAAGCCATGTATAAACTAGCAGGAAAGCAATTTTCATTTACAAAGATTCCTTAACAGGGCTCGATCAGGAAAGGTATGTTTCCCTTTGAGTATCTTTCATGCTGCAGAATACTCTGTAGTTCCCTATTCATTTTCATACTTGTTGACTAGCAAAGATATTTGCGGACGGGCAGTGAACATGTAAAGCTCCAAATGATGTAATCACAGAGGAGTAGGCCTGCTGCATTTTTGAGTTTGTTTATCTGGATAAATACAGATTCAACAGTCTAAACTTCGAGGACCAAATCTGCAGTCTCAGCCAAAAGGATACTCAGTTCTGAACAAAATTTAACAACTGTTCTCTGATTCATACTGTGTGCTTGAGCTCTTGACTTCCCTAAACTTTGAACATCTCCGCAGGAGAAAGGATGGTTGTCAAGAATACAGTTACCACTCCCTTTGTTCCCCGTGTTTGTTTTCAGCTAAAGAGGCTCTAATACTGTTGTTCCAGAGAATTTCTCAGGTAACAGGCTCTTAAAGCATCATGCAGCATTATTGTGACAGCCACAATATGTCAAGCAGGTAGGTTGTCTTTTAAATTCGGTTATTGGAGTGACGGATCTCACCAGCAGAAAGGCAAATGGGCATGCTATGCAGGGGACACCCTATCCATAGCTCTCTAGGCATCAATGCATGCACTCTTCACACCACTGAAGCCTCCCCCTGCCAGGGCTGTAACACGCTTTGCTTTAGCTCTTCATTTCTACAGAGGGTAAGTTAGGTACAACTCAAGCAGGATTCCTTGAAAGCTATGCTGGTGTAGAGCCAAAGAGATTCCTGAAGCAGTGTCAAATGACAAGGCCCCATGTTCCCTTGTAAGAAGGGAACCCAGAGAATTCAACAAGTGAAAAGGATTAAAATACGCGAAGCCATATTGATACATCCTGTCTAGTGAGGATCCAAGTACTTTCTTACCTGGGAAAGCATCTGCAGTATTTGCAGAGGTACTGTTTCATCTGGGTACAGGTTGAAGGGGTCTCTTGGCCCACAGTTGTGTAATTCTATGATAAATTGAGACAGGTTATCCTGGGAAACCCTCTGATACAGACTGACCAGATCCTTGAAAGAGGATGTTTCCAGATTTGACCACAGGCACTCTGTAAAGAGAACAGCTAGTGAGGTGACATGTAACATGTAAATCACTGCAATTTGTGGATGAAGCTGCATTTTATATCAAATAAACTTGACAAAAAAATTGCTTAATTTTGGACTACCAAAATTAGTAAACCTCAGAATTTTTTCATTCTTGTGTCTTGCTGCATAGTCCCCATGTTTCTGCATCTATCAGCAGCAATTATTTCAAGTTCTGCAACACGCTACATCAGCGATGCTAACTCTTGTTCTGCAGCAGAAGATGACCAAGCATTTAAATCATTCAGTTCTATTATCATAAAACCCTACCAAGAGTTTGCAGG